TAAATAAAGTTAGTTTAGTTATATTTCCTTCTGTAGTAACACTGGGTCAATAAGAAATGACTCTTACTAGATCTCTAGGAAGAACAGTTTAGAACTGAAAGAGCTATCCAGTATAAATAAAGTTAGTTTAGTTATATTTCCTTCTGTAGTAACACTGGGTCAATAAGAAATGACTCTTACTAGATCTCTAGGAAGAACAGTTTAGAACTGAAAGAGCTATCCAGTATAAATAAAGTTAGTTTAGTTATATTTCCTTCTGTAGTAACACTGGGTCAATAAGAAATGACTCTTACTAGATCTCTAGGAAGAACAGTTTAGAACTGAAAGAGCTATCCAGTATAAATAAAGTTAGTTTAGTTATATTTCCTTCTGTAGTAACACTGGGTCAATAAGAAATGACTCTTACTAGATCTCTAGGAAGAACAGTTTAGAACTGAAAGAGCTATCCAGTATAAATAAAGTTAGTTTAGTTATATTTCCTTCTGTAGTAACACTGGGTCAATAAGAAATGACTCTTACTAGATCTCTAGGAAGAACAGTTTAGAACTGAAAGAGCTATCCAGTATAAATAAAGTTAGTTTAGTTATATTTCCTTCTGTAGTAACACTGGGTCAATAAGAAATGACTCTTACTAGATCTCTAGGAAGAACAGTTTAGAACTGAAAGAGCTATCCAGTATAAATAAAGTTAGTTTAGTTATATTTCCTTCTGTAGTAACACTGGGTCAATAAGAAATTACTTTTACTAGATCTCTAGGAAGAACAGTTTAGAACTGAAAGAGCTATCCAGTATAAATAAAGTTAGTTTAGTTATGTTTCCTTCTGTAGTAACACTGGGTCAATAAGAAATGACTCTTACTAGATCTCTAGGAAGAACAGTTTAGAACTGATAGAGCTATGCAGTATGCGTGACGTTCTAGTTTATCCAGTTACTTTTCGTTGTATGAATGAAGCTCATGTGTTTCTAGGAAATGTAATAACGCTGGCAATTTTCTTCATCTGCAACTACTGCGAACGTTCAAAGATATCTACCACGCGAGTGACCGTCCCTTACATTGTCAATATGGGGCTGTTACTGGACTGGCCGTGCTGGGTCCTGACGTAAGTAAAATTTTTGGAAATCGAAAAACGGTCAATGTTTGAATGCTGATCGAATTTTCGTTTCTCCTAGGCTATTGAACAAACCATTTTCCCTCACTTGAAGGAGTTCAGTGATAATCTAGTCACATTGCAGGACAGTGATCCAGTACCAGAAAAACTGATGGAAATTCTTCATATTTTGGACATATTGAAGGTAATGGTTTACTTAGTATCTACACCTACTTGTAAAATTCAGTTGTAGTGCACATTTGGGGAGTGTAGAATTGAGGGAGAAAGAGTGTCACTAGCTTTCTAAATAGCCATCTACTGTGCCACCATTGTTTACGTCCAGTCGTATCTAACCTTAACCCAGGAAAAGTGTCGCAAAAAGTATACCTAATTTTAACCAGCGAAGCAGAACAAACATTTCTAGCTATGCTCTATTTTCACTTTTCTGAGAAAAAGTTGTGCAGCAGATGATGAAATGTTTACACTTTTAGGACCAAGCAGCTTTGAACAAATTCTCGTCTTTATAGTTATCAAGATTTTTTGGGTATCTCGTTTGATAGAACTAGTGTTAATTGGGTTATGGTTGTGTCTAATAATGTATGTGAATTTGCGTTCGAATATTCCGCCTCTATTTATTGCTACCAGATTAATCCACCATTACCAATTTGTCCGTGTTTAACCCACACTCATTGTCAGTGTTTGACAATAAGTCAGTTCCCTCAAACGGTTTTAGCAAATCCTTCAAAAATTAGAAATTAAATTCAAATTACCTATGCAAAATTCCTACTGTGATCACAGAAACTTTGATAGTGTAAACCAGATTCATTTGATTATTCTACCGCGTTTCAGATGAGTACGATCTCCGTTTTTCGCAACAAATTGAAAACCATTGCCATGATACGTGAGAAACAAGAACAGCTTCAAAAATCACGAGGTGGTCAGAAAGCTTCCACAAATGCCGCGGACAGTACTTATAAATCAAGTATGGTGGAATCAAAGCAATGGAGTAAATATGTTGCTGAATGGTATAAACAGATGTACGATGTTATCGGTGATGCTTTGGTGTTATTTCTCGGAAATCTTGAAGATTATGAGAATTTTACTCAAAGTAAGCCAACCCCGGTTGCTCATCCTCGCACCTCTATGGTTAACCAATCAAGGTTGCAATACGTACGAAAAATGATCAAAAATGCTTCAGACAATCGCGAGGAAAAAGCTTCGCCCTCCCTCGCCTTTTCTTTTCAAGGAGAAAAAGCTAGACGAATAAACGAGCTTTCTTTGTCAACAGCAATGGACGAAAAGTACCAGGCGTATTTAAATATTAATTTTTTTGATAATGCAAACAGTGAACTCCGATTTCAAAATTTACTTGAAAACTCTATAAGACCGGAACAGAGTTTTAATTTTAGAAGTCGTGTAACTAAATTGCCGTGTCTTAACGCAAGGAGGACATCGTTTAGAAAGACTACAGGTTTGTTAAGTTTGCCCTTATAATGTCTAAGTTTCATGTTAAGTGTAAATAGTTAAGAAGGTTTAATGTCTGGTTTAATGAAAAGCCAAGATGAAACGAGTTTGAGAGTGCATGAGTGTTGACAATGAACTCTTAATAATGCTTTCCCAACACTATCATGTATTTCATTTAACTTAAAACGTCGTTAAAACAATGTTATTCTGGAGCCTGAAATATCTCCCGTAAGAATTCGTGACTGCCAACTTTCATCAATTCTCATCCTCGATTAACCGAGGCTTAAGCCTAGTTTCCATTTGGTCGTTAGTTGTCGCTGGCACGACAAGTGGCCGATGTAATAGAGCGTCAACAAAACTTTATAAAACTCTGCAATCATTAAGACTGATTTGCATATAACACACAAAAATTTAAGGTTTTACTACAGCTCGGTCTGATTTAATGAAACTGATACATGTATATGTTGAGCCGGATTACCATAAATTACAATTGATTATCACTATCATATCGTGGGAATTTGCAATTTGATAGTGGAAACACCGCAGGCGTCCGTAGCAGTGGTAGCGTCTTCATCTCTGCGTCTTCACAGCGTTCTTGGAAGAAAGTGACAAAAAAGTAGAAAAAGAAAGGTGTGATATAAACTGTGCTATAAAAGCAATGCCTGCTGGTCTAAGTGAAAGCATTCTTGATTTTGACAATGTGGAGGGTATGATAGATAAATGTGTGGAAAAACTTAAGAATATTTTAGACCGCTGGCGATGTTACCTTGTTAAAGAGGATCTTAAAGAATTGCAGGATGTTATTGATTATCAAGTCAAAATAAAACAACATATAAAGTTGGGCTTGGATTCTCAGGGCAGTCCAGGTGAGAACATGATGTACTATTGTTTTACCTGTAATAACATGATATTTGCAAATACGTTGTAAGGCCATATAAAAAAAAATAGTTGGTTAGCGTCCTTAGCTTTTGCCAAAAAGTGGGCGGGCGGACGCTTTTTTTTTAATTTTTACTAATTTTTAACGCCTTGGTTTTACTCACTGTTAGGTCCGAAACTGGATTTTCTTGCGCGGTACAGATATTTTTATATATTTCAAAATATAATTCATACCGTCATTTTCGCACGCAATTTCGCAAATTATTAACACAATTGACTACAGTCAACAGAAATACTACATATATTAGAGCCCGTTGATCAATAAAAGTCGGGGTTTTTTAAAATAAAAAATTAAAAAAAATCTTGAGTGGGGCCTTTTTTGTGGGCGGGCGGGGACGCTAACCAACTATTTTTTTTTTATGTGGCCTAAGGTTCCAGCAACATAAATTTTACGAAGTGACTATATGACCGGCAGCCGGTCACGGTTTATCAAATACTAAATGGCCGGCAGTCTAGTGACTATTGTTAAAGTTGAATTTTTATAAGATAAACCTATCTCCAACCCCAAACCCTTTTCTAACCCTAACCCCTAAGGCCCTAACCTCTAACCCTAACCTTTTGAGAGTTAGAAAAGTCGGAAAAAAAAGTTTAAAAATTTTAAGAAAAAACAATGCTAAGTCAGACAAAATACATCCCGACTGCGTTTAACTTTCCGCACGCAGCGCCCTTGCTGTATGAGCTAACGGCAAGCTCGGTAAAAGTTAACACAAACAAAAGTTTTTATATTCAACTATAGTCACTAGACTGCCGGCCATTTAGTATTTGATAAACCGTGACCGGCTGTCGGTCATATAGTCACTTTGTAAATTTTATGTTGCTGGAACCTTACAACGTATTTGCTAAAATATTCTGTTTGTACTCGTTATAAATTTGCATTTATTCTAGAGACTTCCATGATGAAAAGATAGCTAGATAAGGTTCTGACCGTGCTTTTTTCATTAGTTCCAGACGAAACTGGAACCCTTTAGGGTTCCGGCGGCAATTAACTGGTTGTGACCAAGCTCCGGTGCACCCCTAGTGACCAAGTATGACTACAGCAAACAAACAGAGCATCTATCAAGAACTAACTGGGCACTATGTCTACTCAGCCTAACTTGTAAACATAGTTCATCTAGACGGATGATCTGTCTGTGTACTGATGCAATTCTAGGTTTTTTTGAATGGCAGAAATTTCCTCTGTAGGGGAAGTGTGAATCTTTTCTGGGATTACCCATTGCAGATTAGGGCAGTTCTTGATATAAAGATTTTGGAAACAGTCTTGCAGCTAATCAGATAGCCTGCTTTTAAAATACAACTATTTATTTTTGTGTAGAATTGGAAATAATTGATCAAGAAGACTTGACTAGTTCACCATGGCAACATCTTGGCCATGGTTATTTTGCAGATGTCTTTAAGGCTAAAATGAAAGGAGCGCCAGTTGCCGTTAAAATTCTCAAAGAAATACAAAATCCATCTCAGTTAAATGAGGGCCGTATCTTAAGGTAATAACGATCAATTACCTCTTTCTAAAAATTTCAACTATAAAACAAAGTTAACTTTATTCATACTGGATATTTCTGTCAGTTCTACACCATTCTCTGTAGAGGTCTATAAAGGTCATCTGTTATTGATTCCAGTGTTACTGCAGGTCAAAATAAAAACAAAATTGTACTGTGCTTGATTGAATTAAACTGTAAGGTCTCTGATCCAATAATTATAAATTATTAAATTTTGTCAGGTTATTGAGGCATGACAACATTGTTGCATATCGTGGAATGGATTACCTCAAGAAAGATTTACCCGGCGAATACGAATTAAAACAAGGTAGCTTCATGATGATTATGGAATATGTTCCTGACAATCTGAGCACGCATGTGGAAAAATTGAAATCACCCGAAGTAGAAGGTTTACCGAAAAGTCAAGTGTGGGACTTTGGAGAGCAGATCATGAGTGGCTTGTATTATTTACACAGTTTCTCTATCGCACATAGAGACTTGAAACCTGATAACATTTTGGTATGTGGTTATATTAGAGATAGGGTGAGGCGAAACCAGAAAAAACCCAATGTTTTTTGAAAACCGAAATACTCTGTTACTTTTGGAGAAAAACCGGAAAAAAACCGGGGGGAAACGGAAAAAACCCAAAGAAAAATCTGATTCGGTATTTTACTAAAATCGAACCATACTTATATGAGTTTGTTGCAAATGAATCAAGTTCTGAAATGAATCAAGCAAATGAATCAAGCATTTACACACGAAAAACTAAAGAAATTTGTTTGAAATTTGATAATGTCTTAAAATACCTTACGTCTGATATCTTGTGTGAGTACCGAGTAGCATGTTGTGACTTTTTTTACCGTAGTTTCGATATTCGAACATATTTTTAAAAAAACCCGGTTTTTTTCCGTTCTTTTGGGTCGGTTTTCGTTTTTTTTTGTAGAAACCGCCCCACGCTAATTAGAGAGGTGCCCATATTAACAGAGAGCTGAGAGAGGTGTCCGTATTAGAGCGGGGTGTCCATGTTAGAGAGGTCTTCAGACAGGGATGTCTATATTAGAGAGGTGTCCATATTAGAGAGATTTCATATTAGAGAGGTGTTCATATTAGAGAGGTGTTCATATTAAAGAGATGTCCATGTTAGAGAGATGTCCATATTGGAGGGTTGTCCATATTAGAGAGATGTCCATATTAGGGAGGTGTCCATATTAGGGAGGTGTCCATATTAGAGAGGTGTCCGTATTAGAGAGGTGTCCGTATTAGAGAGGTGTCCATATTAGAGAGGTTTCCATATTAGAGAGGTGTCCATATTAGAGAGGTGTCCATATTAGAGAGGTGTCCATATTAGAGAGATGTTCATTGGTCCGATGAAATGAATACATTGCCCGTCAAATCGTATATTGTTTACACTGTTTTTATTCGATCTATAAATTGAATTACAACTACAAATTACTTCTAATTCTACACTATACATACTCTAATACACAAATATGAACTTACTTCTTGGCGGGTTAACACATTTTAATCTACATTTGCTTCCTATGTTTTCCTAAGCACACGCCTTGTCTTCATGTTGTTTTCGACTCGTGAAACATGCAAACTGTCAATCATATCCACTTTCTATTATTAACTAATTAACTTAGAGATTAATATTACTTATTTTATCTAACGTCAACAAAATATCAATACACTCTCCGCCCCGATGAGAATGTAGTTCTCATGCTACTAAATAGCATAGCTAGTTCTAGTTCTCTTTGTAACCTTCTTCTGGATAAATAACAGCAACTCTACTTACAGGTCTCTCATATTCTCCAGAACATGTCTTCACTCTGATGTTTCGAACCTTACTGTCTTTACCAGGAAACACGTTTATAACTTTGCCAATCGTCCAGCTTCCTCGCACTGCATTCGGGTTTTCAATCACTACAACATCGTCGACACGAACGTTTCTTCTATCTGCATTCCACTTTTTACGGGGAACTAACGCTGGAAAAACATCGCTTTGCCAATGTTTCCAAAAATCATCTACTATTCTCTGAACAAACTCAACACGTTTACGTGGATCTCGAGTCTCCTTGAACGGTCCTTGTGGTACTTTCGACGACGCACGTCCAAGCAGAATATCATTAGGACAAATGTACGAACCTTCGTTTGGATCAGTTGTAACGCGGCCAATTGGTCGTTGGTTTACCAGGTTTGCGATCTCTAATAAACAGGTGTAAAGTTCAAACGGTGTTAGCTTCTGTTCTCCAACTGCCTTCTTTAGTGCTCGTTTACAACTTTTAACCATAGACTCTGCACAACCATTCTGGTGTGGTGCTGTAGGTGTAATAAATTGCCATTTAATTCCTTTTTCTGCTGCAAACTCCCTTAACTTCTCTTTATCCCATCCTGCGATCATCTCCCTTAATTCTCTTTCAGCCCCTACTAACTGTGTCCCATTGTCACTTAGAATCAACGCTGGTCTTCCACGAATTGCAAAACATCGACGCAAGACTTGTATAAATTCCATAGCTGAATAGTCAACTGCTAGTTCTAAGTGAACAGCTCTTGTGTTCAAACAAGTAAATACGACACCGTAATGCTTCGTACTTTTGTTTCGTCCAACCTTGACGTGATAAGGACCAAAATAATCACATGCGCTATTGTGAAATGGTGGAGTATATGGTACAAGACGAATTCCAGGAAGGTCTGCCATTTTCTGGGTTTCACACTTTGCTTGCATTTTCTTGCAGAACACGCATTCGTACTTGACTGATTTAGCAAGGTTATGGGCTCTGAGTATCCAATATTTTCGTCGAATCTTTACTACAGTGGCGGCTACTCCAGAGTGTCTATATTGGTGGGCTTGACGAGTAATCAGTTTAGATGTCCAGTGATCCCTAGACAATAACACTGGATGTCTGGTATCGTAAGTCGCAATGGTTTTATCAACTCTACCTCCAACTCTGATAACATCTTTCGAGTCGGTAATCGGATCCAGCTTTTGCAATTGTCCCTTCGCAAGACTGTTTTGCAGGTTTTTCTGGTTTTGCTTTATCCAATAGGTTTCTGATTTTTCTAGCTCTTGTACGGACAAACAACTACTTCTTTGGTTATCTGGGTTTTCTGCTTTTCCTTTTTTCACACGAGCTTTCAAATTCCAGTAGAATCTGAAGACATACGCTGTTACTCGCACCAGTCGTCTCCAGTTCGAAAATCTCGTACAATCGATCGGGGAAGCCATAGTTTCCTTCACTGTACACACTTTCTGACTCTTTCGAATTTCCTGTTCAACTTCACCGTTCTC